TTACTCCATTTTCAAAGGTTTTCAAAGGATTTCTATGTTTTCGGAATTTAAAAGACTTTTCAGGTAATTTGGGATAAAGAGGCACAAATTAGAACAAAAAGACTCTTTCGGATAAATGCACACCGTCAGAACTCTCATGGAGAGACGAAGACCTTCTCACCATCTGATCACCCTCAAAATTGGACAACTTATAGAAGAATCAACCAGCTTTCAAATTCACTTGGTTTGGAGACATTCCAACGGTTGGATCTCAAGATATATTCCATTAGCCCCGGAGCCACTCGAAGACAGCCAGCGAATCACGCGACCGCGGCCACCAGCCCATTCCCCGCGGTCACAAGCCTCCCGACCGCGGCCAGCCACCTATTTCCCGTGGTCACGTCATTCCCGACCGCGGCCGACCAACTCCGAATTAAAGCCCACATTTCCGAAGCCCAAAGTCATTGATAACACCGTATTTTGACCACTTTTATGGATCGTTTTGAAATACTTTTTCTATGTTTTTAATTTCTTTTAAGTAATTTTATTATGTTTTTCTAGTATTTGTAGTTCCAAGACTCTTTTCAGGAAACTTAGGGAAAGGCTTAACAAAATGGATTGAAAACGAGATTTCAGCTCAGAGTCAAACCGTCAGAAGTTCACCCCTGATTGTAGGCCTTCTCACCGTCTGATCCAGCTCAAATTTGGAGACCTTAAATATGGAAGTATTAGCTTTCCAGTGTAGAAGATTGTTCAAGTCTGAGTTCTTCAATAGAGAAGCTTTCTTTCATCTCTTTTCTTTACTGTTTTTTTATTTTGTTTTATTAAAACCAATGATAATGTCGACCTCAGCTATGTCTGAGTAGATCCCGAGTTGGGCTTAGGGTTCCCGAAAGGGGCTCTCATAATCGATTAAGACATCTAGGTTTATAGATCCGGGATTTTAACTTGGTTCTCTGTTTATTCTCGTTCTTATTGCATGTATGCTTGATTGATCACCTAGTACCTGATCTAGATAGTTAGTGTTGCGAAAGTTTTCATTAAGTATCAGCCCTAGAATGAAACAGGCAATTTTTCTGTAGGAGTGGAAACCTACCTGCGGCGAGATCGTGAGTATTGACGAGTCTTGTGCAGCTCTTGCGTTCTCTCCCTTCCAGGGCCAGAGTGGAAACCTACTGGTCAGGGTTGCGAGAAACAGTTGGTTATGATCACGACAGTGACGTAGTCATACCGCCGTACTCTAGCTCTAGAACCCCATATATCGATATCTGTCAATCCCAATCTATCAACCCTAGTGTTAAAACCGATTATGATCCCTGTAGAGTTCACGAAAGCTCAGCGTTTTTAGCCATAGTTTACAAACTAATCGATTTTTACTTGCTTATTTAGATCTGCATTTCAATTGCTTTAGTTCGATATTGTGCTTGCTTTATTTGCTTTCCATTCGATTTTTCTACTTGTTTTCTAAGATAGATTTATTTTCTTTCTTTTGTTTTAGTTTAGTCCGTGACAAACAACCAACCTCTAAAACCAATCTAGTCTAGACATAAAGTTAGAAACCGTAGAAGAATACTAGACAAATCTTTGTGGATTTGATCCCTAAATACTACAACTGATTAGCTGTGGACTTGCGGGTTTCATTTGTTTTTGTTAAGGGTAAAACTTGTTCCCTCACGCAGTTGACACGCATCACCGGGACACGCTCTCCACGCATCGGCACACGCCATGCACGACACAGAAGCTCCGTATCCTGCTTCACCTGCTTACAACTCCACACAAAAGCACGACGCAGCTGCTCGAGAATCTTTTCCGCAAGCACGACACAGCTGTTCGGTAATCTTTTTAGAATCTCCATATTTTCCCTAGAAATAGAAGCTTTAGGATTTAGGTTTCAGGATAAAAAAAGAGCAGTGAAGCTCTGCTAGAAAAGTTCCGGCGACCGTGACCGCCGTCGACCACCGCGAACCACTGCGCGAGCCGTAGTCGGGTAGCTAGTCGAGAATAGTCAGGTAGGTCGTTTTAGCTCGAAGTCTCCTGTCTAACCTAGTTTTTCGTTCTGAATCTAAATCTGACCTCTGTTTGGCTCAGTTCTGGTCAGATCTCTATATAAATTAAGTTGCGTAGGTGAACAAAGAGGTTATCCGAAACCATAAGAAACAGCCATCACGGTTCTATCATCATTTTCTTTTTTTTTTATCTTATTTTGTTTTCGCTTTTATTCACCATCTTCTCACCAACTTTTTCACACTGGGGACAGTGTGATTTAATTTTGGGGGAGGATGCATATCCGTACTAATCATTTTCTTGTTTTGCTTTCAAAATTTCAAGTACTTTTTAAATTTTAATATGTAATCTATTCGACCTTGAGTATTTTTCAGGAATGTTTGACACAAAACTGTGATGATTTAGACCTGCACGCTTCTTATTTTGTTTTCGCTTTTATTCACCATTTTCTCACCAACTTTTTCACACTGGGGACAGTGTGATTTAATTTTGGGGGAGGATGCATATCCGTACTAATCATTTTCTTGTTTTGCTTTCAAAATTTCAAGTACTTTTTAAATTTTAATATGTAACCTATTCGACCTTGAGTATTTTTCAGGAATGTTTGACACAAAACTGTGATGATTTAGACCTGCACGTTTCTACACTACGCATGATAGCTCATTTGTGGTTAGCACTAGACTAGGCGGTAGCTAGAGTACTTGCACTACGAACTCCTACCAGAGGACTTCTATTCATGGAGATTATTTCTGACGGGATATACTAGCTTATTTTATTTGACCTTAATATTGATATCTAATTTTCTCATCATTGATTTTAGGTAGGTTTCGAGATATACATCTAGGACGTCTTTTACCCTCATTTTTACCACTCTTTGTCGTCCTAGATAGCCAGTTCATCTTTATCTGGTACCATACCTTAAACCCAAAACCCTTGTTTTCAATCCTCATGCATTCTCTCTTTAGTTTATATCAGCAGATATGTGCAACAACGTCGGAGAGAAGAGGAACGACGCAGTTTTTGGTCACTCAAGAGGAAGACTGAATGGAATTGGGAAGGAAGAGTATCAGAAACCTTATTAAGCTTTACATGACTCATTTTTATTGGTAATTCCGTGCTCTCTATGACTCTATATCTAATGGTGTTCCCTCTTTCAAAAAAAAAAAAATTATGAAAGAGAGGGAAACAAAAAGCCTAATGAGTCTTAGATTGTCGAAAGTTTTGGAGCAAAAAGCAACCACTATTCACGGATTGCGGACTAATAAATCATGCAAAAATAAATATATGGCTATGATAGAGTTTAATGGGCATTTATTGAAAATATATTGAGACGATTTGGTTTTGCAGAGAAATGGATAGTATGAATGATGCGGTGTATCACCTCAGTTAAATATAAAGTTCTACTCAATGGACAACCAAAGGGACAAATAGTCCCGAGGAGGGGTCTCCGCCAAGGAGATCCGCTATCTCCATACTTATTCATACTATGTACGGAGGTCCTAATATCGAATACAAAGAAAGCTGAAGAGGAAACATTATTGACTGGCCTAAAAATTGCACTGGCAAGTCCATCCGTATCACATCTACTTTTTGCGGATGATAATTTATTCTTTTGTAAAGCAAACTCGGCTGAATGTCAGAAAATACTTGCTATACAGAAACATTATGAAGGTGTCTCGGGACAGCAGATTAATTTTGACAAATCTTCGATCCAATTTGGTCATACGGTTCCAGAGGATGTTAAAAATGAGGTGAAACAAATTCTAGGAATCTCTAGAAACGGAGGGAGAGGATCCTATCTTGGTATCCCGGAAAGCCTAGATGGTGTCAAAACCAAAATCTTCAATTTTGTAGCAGAAAGACAGCATGACAGGGTCAATAGCTGGACGTCGCGTCTGTTATCAAAAAAGGGTAAAGAGGTTTTGATTAAATCCGTGGCATCCGCTATGCCCACCTTCGTTATGGCATGCTTTCGTTTACCTAAATCAATTGTGGCTCACTAGCGCAACGGCAAGGTACTGGTGGAGTTCGGATGGACACCATCGTGGTATGCATTGCTTAGCGTGGAAAAAGATGTGTAGAGATAAAACGGAAGGGGGACTTGGATTTCGAGATGTGGAAGATTTTAATATGGTCTTGTTGGCAAAACAACTGTGGAGGTTGATTGATAGACCTCAATCTTTATTTGCGAATGTCTTTAAAGGACGATACTTTCGGAACGCAAGTCCTTTAGACCCAGTCAGATTCTATTCACCATCTTATGGATGGCGGAGCATAATCTCGGCTAGATCTCTGGTTAATAAAGGGCTAACTAAAAGAGTTGGTTCGGGATGTTCTATCTCGGTATGGAATGATCATTGGATACCTTCTTCTCGCCCGAGATCAGCCAATTGTAAGGGTTTCAATTTTTACCCGAACCTAATGGTTAATCATCTGATTGACCCAACGATAAACTCGTGGAAACTGGGTTTGATAACTGCAATTATTGAACCAGCGGATGTGAAAATCATTTGTGGAATTCTCATTATTACCTCCTACAGGTGAGACTCACTGGGATGGCATTTCACAAAATCAGGACAATATACGGTTAAATCAGGGTACAAAACTGAGTGTTATCTTAACGAGGAGAACTCCGCGGCTTACTTCGGCCCAGACATAAAGGCTTTACGAGCATATACTTGGAAATTAAAATGCGCACCAAAGTTGATACACTTCATATGGCAATCAATATATGGGTGCCTCTCAGTGTCGACCAGGTTACGAACTTGCGGAATACAATGTGATACACAATATGCACGATGTGGAACGGAGGAGAAACAATTAATCATGTCATGTTTGAATGTCCTCCTGCGTTACAAACTTGGGCCTTATCCAGGATACCAACACCGCCTGGGGTTTTTCCTGGACCATCGCTTTATTCGAATTTCGACCATCTTTTCTAGAGACTTTCAAATGAGCTAAATAACACACAGTTTTCATGGATCGCTTGGTGTATTTGGAAAGCCCAGAATAAGAAAATGTACTCTAACAAGGATATAGATCCTTATGTTACTTTAAGAATGGCAGAAACCGAAGCCACATTATGGGAAGAGGCGGAAAGGTCTGGACAGGAATCAATCCCTGTAGATCCTAGCGTTTCTCCGACCATGTCAGTGCCTATGGCCTACGGAAGGTGGTGGTGTTACATTGATGGTTCTTGGAAAGATACGGCTTTACTAACGGGTTTATGATGGTACTATTTTTATGAAGGAGTCACAGAAAAGATAGTAGGAGCACAAAACGTAAGACGAAGTCTCACACGTCTACATGCGGAAACGGAAGACCTCATAGGGGTCATGCACTGCATGCTGGAGAACCAGAAGATGGAAGTGGCTTTTGCAACAGACTGTTTGGAGTTGGTGAAGATGGTGTCTACACCCGAAGAATGACCAGCTTTTAACTTACACTTGGAGGAGATCGGGAAGATGAAGGACAGATTCAGTTTTTTTCTTCTACAACATATCCAGCGCGTGATGAGTTTGAAAGCGGACACCTTAGCAAGGAGTGCTCGGATCTACCCTCATAATATTATTTATGTAAACTCGGTACATCCGGTTTGGCTTGTCGAACCGTTCTAGGTATAAAGGCTGATGAAAAAAATATATATATCATAAATTAATAATTACCATAAATAAAATTTGATATAAATATATAAATGAGATAGTTTACTAAAATATGAGTTTAGTAATGTTTTGTATTTATTTTAACTTAACGCCTTCTTGGAACTCATCTTTAATTTTAGAATATATATTTTTTAAAGATTATCATCTTTGTTTTAAATAAAATCTCTTTTAAAATTAATAAAAAAGTATTTTGAAATTTATAATAACTTTATAAATTAATAAAATATCAAAATATCGGCATTATTAAAAAGTTTTTACTGTAATTGAAGTTATAATCTATATTTCCCTGGAAACAAATTCGGAGGAAAAGGACGTGCTAGTCGAAAAGAGAAAAACCATACAAAGAAGACGATGTCTAACATTATTACTAATAGGTAAATCAAACTTGACCGTAAAATACCATAGCGATAAGTGCGTAGAGATTGAGAAAAAATGGGAAAGGACCCTAGGCTTCACAACAAAACCGCTGGACTGAAAAACTCTCACGAACAAACAGTCATAGTACCTACGAACGGAATCAAACACTAAGCTAAGTCGAAATTAACTTGAACCAAAAAAAATTATTAAATTGAACTTTTAATAACTATGTGTAGAATATCAAAAGTTGAGCCAAAGTAAACTGAATCGAATTAAACCTAAATAAACTAAACCAAACCAAACAAATTTGGATTTAACTCAGTTAGAGAAAATCACCATAAATTGAACAACCAAACAAAAGGACACTCCAGGTCATAAAAAAAATTAAAAAGAAATAAAATGTTAAGTTGTTTAAAAACTTATGAATTATTTTATTTTATTTTTGGCCAGAAACTTATGAATAATTTTTTTTTTTGTTTTTTATGATAAAACGAAAGATCCGAATCTTCATATCCGAAGATTCCGAAACCAAATGTAGATCCGACGGCTACAAGCTGCCTTATTCCCTCCTTACTCAGTTACTCCTCCACAAAATTAAACCCCATTTAAAACAATAAAGACACGAAATATAAAAAGCAGAAGCAAAACTATAGGAATCCAAAAAAAGAAGAAGAATAATTCCAGCATCATTCCTCAATTAATTAAATAAATATTCAAAGCATCAACTTGGTCTTCCATTCTTTTGCTTCGAAAACTTTAAAACACGTCAAAAAGAAAAAAAATACATAAAGATTACCAACCAGCCCGCAGAAAACCACAACCATCGTTCTTCTTCTTGTTTCTTACAACATCAAAGAGTGATGATGAAAGTGGTTTCACCTCGTACACAGGCTGATTCAATCACCGAGAAAGTTTTCCGACGAGTTTACAGCAATTTTAGCTTCACGACGGTCGAAGGTGATTACAACCATTCTCGCGGGAGATCGAGATCGGGTGAGTATGGGAAACAAAGTTTAAGGGCGAGAGGGTTCCAAGAAAATGAAGAGGTTATGGAGATGGAACAGATGGGAGCAGAGAGGATCAAAACTGTTCTTATTCTGATGAGTGATACCGGCGGTGGCCACCGTGCCTCCGCCGAGGCTATCCGTGACGCTTTCAAGATCGAATTCGGAGATGACTATCGGGTAATTATAAATATTTGTTTATGACGTAATCATATATTTTCTTTCTCTATGCATCTTCTTTCTCTTTACCTTAACTCGAACGCATACACTGGAGGTGGAGCCAATTTTATTGCTTCTTGAACCATATAAGCTACAAAATTCCAGCATATTAATTAGTAATTTTCTTTTCAAATGGGTTTTATAGTTTTTGGTTTTGAAATTAAAACTCATTAAATCATTTGAATTAAGTTTTCGAAAAATTAAGTTTATTAAAATTAAGAAGGCTATTTTTCTACGTGTGGTATTCTAGTAGAGACTTTTAAATCCATTTCACTTTGGGTTTATAAAAAACTGAAAACCAAAATTTAGTACTCTACAAAAATATCTAACCATGTTTTTTTTTTCTTTTTGGAGAAATATCTAACCATATAAGGTTTTTAAAAGTTTTTGTTTAGAATCTATTTTGAAAGAAAAATTAATATATATATATATATATATAATTTGAAGGGTTCATTTAAAGATTTCAAATCTTGTTAATATATATTCGGAATAAATTTGTATTGATTCTGACATATTTTCCAATTGATTATGCTTGCAATATAACATATATAAATCTTTCAATCAATATTTTTAAAAATTATAGTTCTTAAAGATTAAGGTAACCACTTTTCCTACGTTAGACTATTTTAGTAAAGAATTTTAAAACTATTTCACTTTGGTTTTGTTTAAAGGGTCTAAAACTTTACAAATATCTCTAACTATTCAAATGTCTCTCTTTTTAGTTTCTGTTTAAAGACCTATTCTGAAAAGAAACAAAAAAATATATATATTTATAAAATTTAGAAATTTTCAAAACATGTGTTGATAATGCTCAAATATAACACCAAGAAGTTCTGATTTGTAATTGTAATCGCGATGAATCTCAGCCGTCAATATTAAAGCTGTCGCAGTCTCCTTAATTTTGAAAAAAAAAAAAAACAAATATCTACTTGGAAGTTTTGTAGTCTAGTGTGTATCTCGGCGTTTGCCAGGTTGTCGGAGATACTTGAGTGATGTCAACATTTGATGTTCTTAATAACCTGTCCCACGTTCCTTACTCATTTTTTTTGTTTTTGTTAATATTAATAATTTAAAATTCGAATTATTTATGCTTCTAGCTTCTATGAACTAATGTTTTTTTTTAATTACAGATAATCATAAAAGACGTTTGGAAAGAATACACAGGATGGCCACTGAACGACATGGAGAGACAGTACAAGTTCATGGTGAAACATGTTGGTCTTTGGTCAGTCGCCTTTCATGGTACCTCTCCCAAATGGATTCACAGAAGTTATCTCAGTGCTCTTGCCGCTTATTATGCGAAGTACACTCTATTTTGCCTTTTCGGTTTCCTTATGATACTTTAGTTTCACAAGATTTCATTTATATAATGGAATTTCTATTTTTATTTTTGGGTGTATAGAGAAATTGAAACCGGTTTAATGGAGTACAAACCAGAGATTATTATTAGCGTACATCCTCTGATGCAACACATCCCATTATGGGTAATGAAAAGGCAAGAACTTCAAAAGAAAGTCATTTTCGTGACGGTCATCACTGATCTAAACACTTGCCACCGTACATGGTAAGATGATGCTGCTCGGGTTTAAAATATTAAGTAATTGTTTACTAATTTTGTAGCTCAAAATGCATTATTCAATATTGATGTAATCAGGTTCCATCATGGAGTCAGCAGATGTTATTGCCCGTCAAAGGAAGTTGCAAAGAGAGCATTACTAGACGGCCTTGGAGACTCTCAGGTTCGGGTCTTTGGCTTACCGGTCCGCCCATCATTCCCTCGAACTATTATCTACAAGGTAAACTTTGTCCAATTCATACCACTTAGAGGTTTTGTTTTTCAACCACTAGAAGATCATCCATATTTATTTATTATGTTTTGTCAGGATGAACTAAGGAAAGAGCTTGACATAAATTCAGATTTACCTGCGGTTTTATTAATGGGAGGCGGTGAAGGAATGGGTCCGGTTCAGAAAACTGCTCAAGCCCTCGGAGATTCTTTATATAACTCTAAAGAAAGAAATCCTATAGGACAATTGATTGTCATATGCGGCCGGAACAAAATCCTTGCTTCTGCATTAATATCCCATGAATGGAAGATTCCGATAAAGGTAGGATTTTAAAATGTGAGATTTTCATTGCTAGTGAATTCTAGTCGCAAGTGATTAATAAATATTATTGTGATGATTATAGGTTCGTGGCTTTGAGACACAAATGGAGAAATGGATGGGAGCTTGTGATTGCATCATCACAAAGGTTAGTCATATCTTTGATTCCTCCATCCGCTTCATAGTACTAGTACTACTTATGTTCTTATATTAGAAACGCCATGAGCTTGTGATTGCATCATCACAAAACTTATGTTTTACAAGTTTTATGACACCAAGCAGGCCGGTCCAGGTACGATTGCAGAGGCATTGATTTGCGGCCTCCCAATTATCCTCAATGACTACATTCCTGGGCAGGTACATATAAACTTTTCTGCTTTACTCTTATATTAATCAATTATCATTAATCCAAAAACTAACTCGTGTGAATGCAACTCTACATAGGAAAAAGGTAATGTGCCATATGTTGTGGACAACGGGGCTGGAATTTTCACCCGAAGTCCCAAAGAGACGGCAAAAATTGTGGCTGATTGGTTCAGCAGCAATAAAGAAGAATTAAAGAACATGTCCGAGAATGCTCTTAAGTTGGCGCAGCCTGAGGCAGTGTTTGACATTGTCAAGGATATTCATCATCTATCCCAACAGCAGCAACAACGTATTCAACTTTTTAATGATTTTTCTTACTGAAGCCTCTAGATTTCTCGGATTCCATGATCATTTTCGTTGCATATTGTTTAGTACATAGTCATTCTTTGATCACTCTTTTAAAATATTTATATATGTTTGTCAACACATTTTTAATTGTTTTAACTGTGCTTTAATTAATAACCAAAAAGTTTATATATGGTGAACAACACAATTTGGAATATCCAACCTGGATCTTCTCGTATCAGATCCCATGTTTTCTTTGCGTTAATCTTCTTGTAATCAGTAGCATTGCCTCTCCAAAAAGGGATATCATTATCCAAAACCCCTGGATTTCTCTCTCGATGCACAGCCAACACGTTTTCAATTTTATTTAGGCAGTCCACATGATGGTTTCTTCGTCGATTAACCAGAGCATGTGCCATCGATGAAAGAA